AGTTCCATTCACATCGCACGAAAGTCTTCAGCAAACAACTTGTAGTTTTGTTGAAATTTGTTTATTTGTTTAATTCTTGATTCTAATGTTTGCCGCCGTTATGTTCGGTAAGAATCTTTTCGTTATGAATTTTTTTCGTCTTTCCCTATAGCGTAATAACTTCACCCGACCATAACGGATTTTTAATAATTTAAATTCACCTGAAAGAGAAGGTAATGTGCTATATGTACCTAGACTGAAAGGCCACTCAGTGGAAATGAGGCTGTCAAAGATGACCTCTTAAAATTCCTTAATGTTATGTACGTACTGCTGGGATACAAATGCCAGAGAATATATCTAAGAGTGAATAAACATCGGAGCATATAGACTAGCCCATAACCCACACTCGAGCTTGCATCAAGGGCAAGAAAGAACCAACCTGTAATTGCTCTGTTATTTTTATATGTTATTGTTCTCTGCGGTTAGAAGGTAGTTCGCATGTGTTAGGAGCATCAAACTGAAACTCAGAAAACAAAAAAAATTTCTTTAGGTACTATCAAGTGTTGATGAGTAATGCTGAAAAAAATTCTTCTATTTTAAAAAAATTTACAATAACTGGAGAAAAAGATCAAGCAAACTTGTAGCGAGTTAGTGACTCAGTTGCTTTTTTCCCCAATCAACACATAGTCATATCCAAAAAGTACAGAATACTTGCTACGTCTTCAGAAGAAACGAACGTTTTGTAAAAAATCATGTGAGAGGTCCTTCATGGCTAGCCCAAGAAAACAGAGAGTAGGATATATATTACCGGATAACAGAAGACCTGTAGTATAAAGCAAAATTTGATTTCATCTAATACTATCTAACATCTTATCAATCAAAGTTGTGTAGAAAAACAAAAAAAAAACTTTCACTATTCTAATATTAAGATTATCCATTCATATAGAAAGTTGTTTATGAATTTTCAAATGCGTTTTGACGACGAAAAAGTATAATGCGGATGCCCCTGGAAAAGCGCTAACTATAAGACCGGGAAGAAATTTTCACATTATTGTTAACGAAATAAGAATAAGAATCGACATAAGAAATGTGGATTTTAGAAACGATGATGAGAAGTTTTTCCATGAAAAATGAGGTGTAGTTTTGAAGGTAGAAGTTGAAGTTGAAAAGGCTACAAAGTGTGAGGAGTAAGCGCTAAATTCACCCCTTAACTATTTTTTCTCAAAGCAGTTGCGTGAGAACCTCGGAAAAAATGCATCGTAGTAAAAATTATTATGATTTATATTGCTTTGGAAGCATATTTGTCATGTAGATTTGAGTAGTGAAAATCAAGATAATATAGAGATTAATTTCCACGGGACAATTGGCTCTGGTGCCCTCTTCGTTCTTTGCTAATGTAAGCAAAGTATATCATTATGAAGGTCTTGAAACGTACAATTGAACAGACAACTGCGCAATATCCAATTTTTTGGTTTGATTAATGAAATAAAAATATTCGGGTTTTTATTTTCGTCGATTTCTAGGTCAAATTGAAGTCAATAAGTGTATTTTTTCACTCATTCGACAGAAAATCTGATCCGCAATACAACTGACAATTACCCAACTGTCAGGTTTGATATCCAGCAAACTATTTTAAAGGACGCATCAAAAAACCCATTTTCTCATTATGCCTATCTAAAGATTGATTGCGGCCGACTATTTCAACCTTAAGATCATTCCGTTTGCAACAATGTCTAAAACGTAGACATTTGCGCAACTTTCACAAATCATGAATTCAAGGGAAAAATTCAAAAAACACGCAACACTTCTTTCAAAGTCGGTTTTCTTTCAAAAATAGGAGGAATTTACCTTCAGTCTT